TTGCCTAATCCGGCTGTGAGGAGGAACCAGCGGAGACTGACTAGGGGGGTGGATAGTTAGTTGCAACTTGATAAAATATACCTTTTTCTACTTTTGCCTTTTCCGGCTGTGAGGATGAACCAGCGGAGACTGACTAGGGGGGTGGATAGTTAATTGCAACTTGATAAAAAGTACCTTTTTCTATTTTTGCCTATTCCGGCTGTGAGGATGAACCAGTGGAGACTGACTAGGGGGGTAGATAGTTAGTTTCAACTTGATAAAATGTAATTTTTTCTACTCTTGCCTATTCATGATGTGAGGAGGAACCAGTGGAGACTGACTAGGGGGATGGATAGTTAGTTGCATCTTGGAAGATTGTACATTTTTCTACTCTTGCCTATTCCGGCTGTGAGGAGGAACCAGCGGAGACTGACTAGGGGGGTTGATAGTTAGTTGAAACTTGGAAACTTGTACCTTTTTCTACTCTTGCCTAATCCGGCTGTGAGGAGGAACCAGCGGAGACTGACTAGGGGGGTGGATAGTTAGTTGCAACTTGATAAAATACACTTTTTTCTACTTTTGCCTATTCCGGCTGTGAGGATGAACCAGCGGAGACTGATTAGGGGGGTGGATAGTTAGTTGCATCTTGGAAACTTGTACCTTTTTCTACTCTTGCCTGTTCCGGCTGTGAGGAGGAACCAGCGGAGACTGACTAGGGGGATGGATAGTTAGTTGAAACTTGGAAAGTTGTACCTTTTTAAACTCTTGCCTAATCCGGCTGTGAGGAGGAACCAGCGGAGACTGACTAGGGGGGTGGATAGTTAGTTGCAACTTGATAAAATATACCTTTTTCTACTTTTGCCTTTTCCGGCTGTGAGGATGAACCAGCGGAAACTGACTAGGGGGGTGGATAGTTAGTTGCATCTTGGAAACTTGTACCTTTTTCTACTCTTGCCTATTCCTGCTGTGAGGAGGAACCAGCGGAGACTGACTAGGGGGATGGATAGTTTGTTGAAACTTGGAAAGTTGTACCTTTTTATACCCTTGCCTAATCCGGCTGTGAGGAGGAACCAACGGAGACTGACTAGGGGGGTGGATAGTTAATTGCAACTTGATAAAAAGTACCTTTTTCTATTTTTGCCTATTCCGGCTGTGAGGATGAACCAGTGGAGACTGACTAGGGGGGTAGATAGTTAGTTTCAACTTGATAAAATGTAATTTTTTCTACTCTTGCCTATTCATGATGTGAGGAGGAACCAGTGGAGACTGACTAGGGGGATGGATAGTTAGTTGCATCTTGGAAGATTGTACATTTTTCTACTCTTGCCTATTCCGGCTGTGAGGAGGAACCAGCGGAGACTGACTAGGGGGGTTGATAGTTAGTTGAAACTTGGAAACTTGTACCTTTTTCTACTCTTGCCTAATCCGGCTGTGAGGAGGAACCAGCGGAGACTGACTAGGGGGGTGGATAGTTAGTTGCAACTTGATAAAATATACTTTTTTCTACTTTTGCCTATTCCGGCTGTGAGGATGAACCAGCGGAGACTGACTAGGGGGGTGGATAGTTAGTTGCATCTTGGAAACTTGTACCTTTTTCTACTCTTGCCTGTTCCGGCTGTGAGGAGGAACCAGCGGAGACTGACTAGGGGGATGGATAGTTAGTTGAAACTTGGAAAGTTGTACCTTTTTATACTCTTGCCTAATCCGGCTGTGAGGAGGAACCAGCGGAGATTGACTAGGGGGGTGGATAGTTAGTTGCAACTTGATAAAATATACCTTTTTCTACTTTTGCCTATTCCGGCTGTGAGGATGAACCATCGGAGACTGACTAGGGGGGTGGATAGTTAGTTGCATCTTGGAAACTTGTACCTTTTTCTACTCTTGCCTATTCCTGCTGTGAGGAGGAACCAGCGGAGACTGACTAGGGGGATGGATAGTTTGTTGAAACTTGGAAAGTTGTACCTTTTTATACTCTTGCCGAATCCGGCTGTGAGGAGGAACCAACGGAGACTGACTAGGGGGGTGGATAGTTAGTTGCAACTTGATAAAAAGTACCTTTTTCTACACTTGCCTATTCCGGCTGTGAGGAGGAACCAGCGGAGACTGACTAGGGGGGTGGATAGTTAGTTGCAACTTTATAAAATGTACCTTTTTCTACACTTGCCTATTCCGGCTGTGAGGAGGAACCAGCGGAGACTGACTAGGGGGGTGGATAGTTAGTTGCAACTTGATAAAATGTACCTTTTTCTACACTTGCCTATTCCGGCTGTGAGGAGGAACCAGAGGAGACTGACTAGGGGGGTAGATAGTTAGTTTCAACTTGATAAAATGTACCTTTTTCTACTCTTGCCTATTCAGGATGTGAGGAGGAAGCAGCGGAGACTGACTAGGGGGGTGGATAGTTAGTTGCATCTTGGAAACTTGTACCTTTTTCTACTCTTGCCTATTCCGGCTGTGAGGAGGAACCAGCGGAGACTGACCAGGGGGGGGGGGGTTGGAAAATTAGTTGCAACTTAGAAACTTGTACCTTTTCTACTCTTGCCTATTCCGGCTGTGAGGAGGAACCAGTGGAGACTGACTAGGGGGTAGATAGTTAGTTGCAACTTTATAAAATGTACCTTTTTCTACACTTGCCTATTCCGGCTGTGAGGAGGAACCAGCGGAGACTGACTAGGGGGGTTGGATAGTTAGTTGCATCTTGGAAACTTGTACTTTTTTCTACTCTTGCCTATTCCGGCTGTGAGGAGGAACCAGCGGAGACTGACCAGGGGGTGGGGTTGGAAAGTTAGTTGCAACTTAGAAACTTGTACCTTTTTCTACACTTGCCTATTCCGGCTGTGAGGAGGAAACAGCGGAGACTGACTAGGGGGGTGGATAGTTAGTTGCAACTTGATAAAAAGTACCTTTTTCTATTTTTGCCTATTCCGGCTGTGAGGATGAACCAGTGGAGACTGACTAGGGGGGTAGATAGTTAGTTTCAACTTGATAAAATGTAATTTTTTCTACTCTTGCCTATTCATGATGTGAGGAGGAACCAGTGGAGACTGACTAGGGGGATGGATAGTTAGTTGCATCTTGGAAGATTGTACATTTTTCTACTCTTGCCTATTCCGGCTGTGAGGAGGAACCAGCGGAGACTGACTAGGGGGGTTGATAGTTAGTTGAAACTTGGAAACTTGTACCTTTTTCTACTCTTGCCTAATCCGGCTGTGAGGAGGAACCAGCGGAGACTGACTAGGGGGGTGGATAGTTAGTTGCAACTTGATAAAATATACTTTTTCTACTTTTGCCTATTCCGGCTGTGAGGATGAACCAGCGGAGACTGACTAGGGGGGTGGATAGTTAGTTGCATCTTGGAAACTTGTACCTTTTTCTACTCTTGCCTGTTCCGGCTGTGAGGAGGAACCAGCGGAGACTGACTAGGGGGATGGATAGTTAGTTGAAACTTGGAAAGTTGTACCTTTTTATACTCTTGCCTAATCCGGCTGTGAGGAGGAACCAGCGGAGACTGACTAGGGGGGTGGATAGTTAGTTGCAACTTGATAAAATATACCTTTTTCTACTTTTGCCTATTCCGGCTGTGAGGATGAACCAGCGGAGACTGACTAGGGGGGTGGATAGTTAGTTGCATCTTGGAAACTTGTACCTTTTTCTACTCTTGCCTATTCCTGCTGTGAGGAGGAACCAGCGGAGACTGACTAGGGGGATGTATAGTTTGTTGAAACTTGGAAAGTTGTACCTTTTTATACTCTTGCCTAATCCGGCTGTGAGGAGGAACCAACGGAGACTGACTAGGGGGGTGGATAGTTAGTTGCAAAAAAAAAATACCTTTTTCTACACTTGCCTATTCCGGCTGTGAGGAGGAACCAGCGGAGACTGACTAGGGGGGTGGATAGTTAGTTGCAACTTTATAAAATGAACCTTTTTCTACACTTGCCTATTCCGGCTGTGAGGAGGAACCAGCGGAGACTGACTAGGGGGGTGGATAGTTAGTTGCAACTTGATAAAATGTACCTTTTTCTACACTTGCCTATTCCGGCTGTGAGGAGGAACCAGAGGAGACTGACTAGAGGGGTAGATAGTTAGTTTCAACTTGATAAAATGTACCTTTTTCTACTCTTGCCTATTCAGGATGTGAGGAGGAAGCAGCGGAGACTGACTAGGGGGGTGGATAGTTAGTTGCATCTTGGAAACTTGTACCTTTTTCTACTCTTGCCTATTCCGGCTGTGAGGAGGAACCAGCGGAGACTGACCAGGGGGGGGGGGTTGGAAAGTTAGTTGCAACTTAGAAACTTGTACCTTTTTCTACTCTTGCCTATTCCGGCTGTGAGGAGGAACCAGTGGAGACTGACTAGGGGGTACATAGTTAGTTGCAACTTTATAAAATGTACCTTTTTCTACACTTGCCTATTCCGGCTGTGAGGAGGAACCAGCGGAGACTGACTAGGGGGGTTGGATAGTTAGTTGCATCTTGGAAACTTGTACTTTTTTCTACTCTTGCCTATTCCGGCTGTGAGGAGGAACCAGCGGAGACTGACCAGGGGGTGGGGTTGGAAAGTTAGTTGCAACTTAGAAACTTGTACCTTTTTCTACACTTGCCTATTCCGGCTGTGAGGAGGAACCAGCGGAGACTGACTAGGGGGGTGGATAGTTAGTTGCAACTTTATAAAATGTACCTTTTTCTACACTTGCCTATTCCGGCTGTGAGGAGGAACCAGCGGAGACTGACTAGGGGGGTGGATAGTTAGTTGCAACTTGATAAAATGTACTTTTTTCTACTCTTGCCTATTCCGGCTGTGAGGATTAACCAGCGGAGACTGACTAGGGGGGTGGATAGTTAGTTCCAACTTGATAAAATGTACCTTTTTCTACTCTTGCCTATTCCGGCTGTGAGGATGAACCAGCGGAGACTGACTAGGGGGTGGATAGTTAGTTCCAACTTGATAAAATGTACCTTTTTCTACACTTGCCTATTCCGGCTGTGAGGAGGAACCAGCGGAGACTGACTAGGGGGTGGATAGTTAGTTGCAACTTGATAAAATATACCTTTTTCTACTCTTGCCTATTCCGGCTGTGAGGAGGAACCAGCGGAGACTGACTATGGGGGTGGATAATTCGTGGAGCAACTGGATCGAACTGGCATATGGGATCTGACCGGAGAGGGTGATGTACAGGGTGCCTGGAAAGAAACAGGTCGTATTTAGATGAGTAAAACCAAGTTCAAAATATGAAAATCCCACTATTGAGATTTCTTCATTAAATGAACTTGCGCTAGTGCCGTATAAAAGCCGAAGCTGACTCCCAAGAGGACAAGCAAAATATCCTTTTCCCTGGCCTAATTAATGTGCTTCATCTTAAATTACTTTGGGGAAAAGCATGGCAAAATTATTAGGTAATCTATAAACTTTTTCGAATTATTTTCGTGATCTAACATGATTGGATGGATGGTACCTGTGAGAGAGACTAGATGGTGTGCCATTTCGGACCTTCTGCCGAATGCGTGCCAGTGTCTCATCATCTCCACCAGGTCATGCAGGAAGTAGCCACAGGACATCGCAAAGGTCACACGCACACCCACTCCTGCCATTGCAGAAAACATTCAGGAACATAAGCTTCCAAAAAGGTTATTGTCATTTAGGAAGAACATTGGATTCGGGTAAGTTTTATTTTTTTTAAGTTTTTTTTTTTAAATTGTAAATAATCATTGAAATGGGTCGAGTGATATATCATTTTCAAACTTTTTCAGTCGTGACTCCAACATCAAAAAGTTTCAAATAGTTGTCCAGTATCGAGAAAAAGCTGTTTAAAATTTTTGAGTTTCAGTCTGTTTTTGAGCCAATAAAGCGATTGAGTAACGTTTTCTGGAAATTTTAGACTAAGAAAGTTTAGACTTACTAAAACAAAAAGTATTCAACTCTTCCTAGGCAAAACAAATAGCTGAAATTAACACTGCCTAACCAAAAATACTTCCAAACATAATTTAAAATTTTTGTGAAAAAAAAAACAATTGAAAGTTGCATGATTTTTTTTCCATATTTCATTTGGTATTCATTGTTTTGGACAATTGATGTCGATTCTGCATAACGCACTAACTTTTTACCCGTCTGTGTAGTTTTTTTTATCGACCCGCGTACACACAAAGATTCAATTTAAAAAAAAAGAAAACCTAGAATATTGTCGGAATATTCCGAGGTAGTGGCACAGCCACCGGCTATTCTTGTTCTGAAAAGTTATTACTGATAAACTTAAACTTAATATTTTTTTAAATCAATATCTCTCAGTTTTTTAAGTTTTGCTGAACTTATTGTACGCTAAGACATATTAAAGCAACTATGTCATTTAAATTTTATTATTTTTTCGTGTCCTTTTTTTCAGCTAATCACTGATTGAAAAAAAAAGCATTGGACTTGGATGTTTCTAGGAGGACTTGGATGTTTTTTACTCGCGCTGAGGTACCAAAAATAAAATTACATATGACCGAGTGCTTAATTATTTTGGAGCTCTTTTTAGCCCTTTCAAAAAGCTCAGTGTCTAAAAAAAACGTTATGAAACTTTTTAGCAACAAACTTACAGGGAGTGAAATCAGCGAATAGAGTTCATAAATAAACTATGAAATTGTAAGTTTTCAGCTGTGAAGAATGAATTTGATCCTCTCTGTTGTGGCAAAAGATCTACCCGTTTTCGTTTTAGTTATTCATTTAAAATAATTTTTACTCATTTAGGGCTGGCTGCTCACAATGTTTTCAAACTTACTTTTTGATTTTTTTTCACACTAAAAAAATTTAAAGCTGTTTTTCATCAGTTATAGTGGTTGGCGGATTCTTCTGTGCTTATTGTACAAAAACTACACCAATTCGTTTTTTTCCATGAGTTTGATGCCGCAGTTATAATCATGTATCTTAATTCGAAAAATTTTAGTTGAAAGATTGCACACATAATCCAATAACAGATGTCTTGGCACAAAAAAACGTTGAAGCGTTGAAAAGTTAAATTCTGAAAAACAATTTTTTTAAAAAATTTTTTCTTTGTGTTTGTCTTTTTATCATTTCTGTATAAAAAAAAACACTTACAGACAGAGAAACAACTCAATTTAGTGTTCAATTTATGATGTTTCTAGTTTAAAAAATGTTGCTTAAACAGGTTTATTTTCTACCAATTGTCCAAACGCTATAAAATAATTTGTTGAAAAACGCGGAAAAAAGATCAGTGTTCAGACCAGTGAAAATGAGGAGGAAGTTTGTATTCGGGTGTGTCTAATTTTTTCTTTTTTTTTGTTATTTCCACGCAAAATCAGCTTCCACAAATAATCATTGGAGTGAATTGAGTAATAAATCAAATTAAAGCGCTGATCAAATTTTCCCAGTGTCGAGAAAAACTGGAGTAAAATTATTTAATAGAGCGGTTTTGTCGCCATTTTTGGAATCAAAATTTTCAATTGTTTTTGATACTTTTTTGTTTTTTGTTTGTTTTTCTAATCATTTTTTTCCGTTTTTTTCTAAGACTATAATCCAAACATTTTGGGATATTTGCCCAGTAACCGGCTATCCTTGTTGTTTTTTATAGTGTTATGTAGTTTTATTTTTATGTTTTATGTAGCCAAGCAGCTCAAAACAAATAAAAATTGAAAACCTCAAAAGTTCGGAGGATTAGACTATATTAGTGAAACTAAATATGGACATGCCCACAAATAATGACAACAAATAAGTTATATAAATTGATAAGGCATGTAAAGTTCTTACAGTAGAAAAAAATTTTACGAGCTAGAGCCATTTGAAAGAAAATATCCTCCAAAAACTAATTAACCAAAACTTTATAGAGAAAACAAACAAAAGGATAAAGAAAGTTTTACAAAAAAATTATACAAACCTGACGGCCCGAATGGGTTTTCCTTCGTTTTTTCATCGAAGAACACAAAATAAGCGCCGCAAACAGTAGCTACAGTTGCATGGATAGACGACAACACGTAAGTATTCCAATGCCTTTTTAAGGGTGCCTCTAAACTGTCGTACTTGGGGTAAAATTTCCTGGAAATGGGGGCACAGACAAGTTTGGAAACAATTTTGAAAACAATGGCAAAAGCTATTAAAACAGCAACATAGAACATATACGATTCCTCCATTGCAGATAATGAGATATTGTATTTGGGATACGTTTCGGTAAGTATAATTTACCGTGTGTCAATTTTGAGAAAAGTTACAGGTCAGTCAAATGAAGATACTGTGTTCGTTTGTTTCAGTTATAAGACAGTCATAGTTTAACTTCGGATTATCATGGTATAGACACGTCAAATGTTATGACCGACTATTATTTGTGTTATCATACCCAATATGGTTACAAATATAGTTTATTTATATCATTTAATCACACCAAAATGACAAGATTCGGTCAATATGCAGATAAATATTCAGATCAAAACTAAATGTAAGATAAGCAAAATTTAAAAACAATGTTATTTTACGTGTACAAAACAGCAGAATTTGTCCGCTCTAATGTTGATTGTTTGATGAAAAATGTTTATCTCATTGAAGTTTATCTTCTGTCAAGGGCGGATGTAGGATTTTCTCACAGGTTTTTTTTCAAGCTTTTTTGTTCTTTCGTCTTTTTGTTCCGTGTATATTGGCGCCACAATCTTCGTCTTTCTCCAGTGTGAAACATTAGCGCTGCTTCTTACTGTCAATGCTCCAATTGCACAATGACTCGAAACGAAAAACTCAAATTTGATTGAATGAAGCCAATGAACCGATTCTTTAAAAAATGATAAAATCTTACTCCAGAGCGAGCACGTCGAAACATATTCTAAAGGAGGGATCAAAAAAATTCCAGTTAGGAGAGGTTCAAGAATATTTTTTTCTTGACCGTGGGTTAGATTGATCAACTTTTGCATATTCTATTCAGTCAAGAATGTCGAAATTTCCAAAAATTTCTCAAAACGGTTGTAACCAGTGGATAGATAGCGAGACGAACAGACGGTATACTTTATCTGCAATTACCCCCAAAAATGGAAGTCTTTAAACAGCAAAGTAGGTCAAATCCCTGTGGGAAGGGGCGTCCAAAACATATTCTAAAGGAGGGATCAAAAAAATTCCAGTTAGGAGAGGTTCAAGAATATTTTTTTCTTGACCGTGGGTTAGATTGATCAACTTTTGCATATTCTATTCAGTCAAGAATGTCGAAATTTCCAAAAATTTCTCAAAACGGTTGTAACCAGTGGATAGATAGCGAGACGAACAGACGGTATACTTTATCTGCAATTACCCCCAAAAATGGAAGTCTTTAAACAGCAAAGTAGGTCAAATCCCTGTGGGAAGGGGCGTCCAAAACATATTCTAAAGGAGGGATCAAAAAAATTCCAGTTAGGAGAGGTTCAAGAATATTTTTTTCTTGACCGTGGGTTAGATTGATCAACTTTTGCATATTCTATTCAGTCAAGAATGTCGAAACGTTCCAAAAATTTCTCAAGACGGTTGTAACCAGTGGCGGATCTATAATTTTCTCAACTGGCTGACGGATCTTCAATTTTTTTTTGAAAATTACAATCTGTTTTATAGGTTGACCGAATTGGTTTTCCGAGCTCTCTTGAGACACTATGCAGACCTACTTGAAAGAACTTTCTGCGACAATGGATAATTTTGGAAAAACAGGCCAAAAAAGCGTGCTCCCTCCCCTCAAATTGATTGAATGTTGGCGCCAATTCGCCAATGGAAGTCTTTAAACAGCAAAATAGGTCAAATCCCTGTGGGAAGGGGCGTCCAAAACATAATATTTTGAGTTTTTGTCCGGGGTAGCTCACTCGTAGAGTAATTCCAGATAAAGTATACCGTCAGTTCGTCTCGCTATCTTGATCTTACTCTTATATCTCCGAGTCTCAATAGTGTATACTGGTACTTGCGAGTTAAGTCTGAAGGAGAACGACTGTCTTCTAAATTAGTTTTATTTTGTTCTGTTGCTGAAACTATGAATAGTTTCAGCGTTACAAATAATTGTAAGTGTTAGTTATGAATCATGGTTGGTAAGAAAAAAATGTTTTATAGAAATAATTTAATCAATAATATAATTGGATATAAATACTACTTTTAAACTGGTTTCATCCATCTGGGGCTTAGAGAGTTTTAAGTTTAAATGTTTATTGCGGTGTAGGATGGATGGAGAGGTTTCTTATTTCTTGGAATAATTTCCTTTTGAAGTATTGAGTGCATGAAGGAAGAGAGAGAAACAGTTGTACGTGTTTCTGAGTAGATGTCTTCGTAGAGAGAAGGGGGACAGTTGCTCGTTCTCCAGAAAGCGATTTCGAATATCCAAGATCGTCTTGAGTGATCGTGTCAAGATTTCAGATTTGTGCAATGATATGTTGATTTCGTTAAGCTAGTAAGTAGAGCGAGACTACGGGCAAGGTGGAGTTTGACTTCTCTGTGTGAAGTGCCAAGTGACTAGGATTCGTATGTGAGATCAACATCGAGATGGCCATGGCTTTGTTTCAATGGGTTTTCTTTGCTGCGATGTTGAGTCCATACTTTAAATCCTTTGAGGGTAGTGACTACGGCAATAAACCAAATAGATTTGCCATTTCAGAGTTGGAAAGT